ACTGCATTTACTGTTCTACTATTTTTTTTTCCTGGCTGATATATACTTTATTATTTCCTAAATGCTTTTTTTTTTTGTACATTATATGTTTTTTAATAATTTAAAAAATGCCATGATCGAAGCTTTATTTTGAATGATACCTTTCCGTTCAGCTATTAGAAATAAGTCCTAGAAAAGCAATTTGAACAAATATTTTGGTCTATTAAGTTAAATAGAATATTTTAATCGACCCAAGAAAAATAATTTATCCCTCCCTTACATAATACGTGGGATCTACTTATATCCATATTGTTTTGCTATTCGTTCACTAAAAAAACTTTTCTGTGAATTATTATTACGGGCCAACTAGTAATATAATTATTAGTCAAATGACTATTAACATGTTAAAGATTGGAAATAATAGCAACAAATATTGAATGAAAATTAATCATGATTGTGAAATAATACAAACCATACTTTGCCTTGTGCAGAAGTGGCGCTGACGTTGACTAATATCTTTGACAGCCGAGATTAATTACCTTCAGTAATTTTCATTTGGAGTCAAATGTGTGTAAGTCCCAGCAATTCTGGTTCTATCCAGCGGTACTCAGGCATTAATGAAAGGCCTTTTTGATAAATATATCATATTTTCATCAATATTTAGCATTACACAGTTCTACTCTTTTATTGGTGATCTATTTGTCAATGGATGGGAAAGCTTTTTATCATTAAAGGCCACAGTAAGGTTAGGCAGTGCTAAAATAGGCCGCAATAATTCTTTAATTTTACCTTTACTATTTTTATTTATTATTAAATACGAGGGGGACACACATAGATGAACTTAACCTAATTCTATCAATTTCCAAATTTTGGTTACTTAAATGATTAAATAATAATTAATTCTAACATTAGATTAATAAATACCATCAGGTCTATCTCAGCAGGGATACCCTAAGGTTCAGTACTCGCTTCAGTACTCTATATCACATATACCCATGGCATACCGTGCTGTTCCAAAATCAACAGCGGCATATGCAGACGACACAGCAATTTTAACAAGATTACATGACTGCTTCAAGCTTTGGAAAATCCGACCTATTCAAGACAAATCACACCACATCAAATTTACCCTTCGACATGAAACATGCCCTCCAGTTTTCCTAGATCATACACAGATACTACAGAAAGACAACGTTCACTACCTTAGTCTGACATTTGACCAAAAAATGACGTGATGCCCACATATAACAAACAACAGAACAACTCTAAGTCATACTCATAATGTCATAAGTCACAAGTCTAAATCAGAGTAATAATTATAAATTCAATCCTTTCAAAACTAAAACTTGGACAGAAATTTAACACATACAATTACTTAATAAAACCTATTTGGACTTAGCGATCACAGATATTTGGAACAGCTAGAAAGACTAACATAAACAAACTTCAAGTCACATTCAGGACAATCACAAAAGCACCTTGGTACGTTAGCAACATAACCTTACATACTGACCTCCATATGCCAACTGTTGACAAACTTATTACAAACGATTTCGCGAAAACTTACAAGGGCATCCTAACATGTTTATAAATGACATGGCCACTACTAATATGTCAAGTAACGTCTGTAGGAGACTGAAGAGGAGCTGGATGAGGGACCTCCTCGCCTAATGTAGATATCGAGCTAGGGTGAGGTGCACCTGGGTACTGCTCCCCCTCATGTCTTACATGCCATTATATTTTTGAATCCATCATCTCATTCACTGGTTGTCACCCTCTTTATGACAGGTGTGAATAAAAAAAAAATAAGTAAAAAAAAGGATAAATAGTTCGGCTAATTAATTCAATAAACAGGACATACAACAAGACTTTAATATTGGACAATAGAATATTTCATCCCTACGCCAACTAGTATCGTTTCGACTATTCCTTTCTGAACTAGGTACCATATAGGCCTTGCTGGAATCCAAGATGTGTGATCAAAGGTAAGAAAATTATTGAAAATAATTTTCATAATGTCTATCAGGAACATCATACATTTGTAACCTATTTATGGTTAGGGAAAGAGTTAGTGACCGCTCCATAACAGTATAAGTAAACCAAAAATGTATATTTTTCAATATAAATAAGGACACATAATAAAATGAGCTAGATATATTTAAAAACAAATTCTTCGATTTCAGTTATTTTATATTAGTAAGCAAAAGACCACGAGGAGGGACAAAAACCAGATGGATAGATCGAATTTCAAAAAATGCAATTTAGCAGCATGCAGATAGCTGGAAAGAAATAGGCCAAGATAAGCAGAGAAGGATAAGGGTTTTTAAGGCGGCAAAAGTTCTACAAGGCTTATAATGCCAACAGAAAAAAAAAATGAATTGCCTACGGTCTATACCGTTCGTATAAAAAAATTACAAAAACGAACGAACTATCAGGATATTAATTAGGAAAATTATTAAACAAATAATTATTAATTTATGAATTAAAACTGCATAATCTGTTATTATAAGTGTTTAAACATTCCATTACGCTTGTAATAAAAGCAATCAGCGAGTTTTGTCATAGACCAGCGTCATATAACTTGACGTTTATTTTTTAAAGAGCTTTTTGCTTAATATTAAAAAACTCTTCAACCCACCATTACTAATTAATGTTGAGTATATGACGACTTCGTATCAGAAATAGCACCTGTATCTACCGGAGTGTCGTTAGTTACGGTAGAATCTTCTGCCGAGTTCTATGTTCGTGAGTTATGTTGGTCCACCTTTGCAAAGGAGACAAGTGGTTTCAGTCACGCAACAGCTTCATCATTCAGATAAGGAGCTGTTAATTTAGCGATGTGCGCCCAAGAACCAATTGCAAAAATAAATTTAATGGATAACGGTAATTTTCTTGAAAATTCAACAAATAATGAAAGGCCTACTTTCGAAGATCGTGTTTTATTGTAATTGAAAATTTATTAAGCTGTTGAAGAATATTATGAATTTTCGCTATTATACTTACATTATCTTAAGTAATAAACAAAAAATAACCAAAACAACCAAGCTTAAAATAAAAAATAAAAATACATTATTTCCTCAGCCTAGCTTTTAATTATTAATCAAATATAAATTAAGGTCATTTTATTTTATAGTTAAATTTATATCAAATGTAGTGGCTACCGCATATATCTAATACTATTATTAGAAAAATTGCAGAGGTTTTAATGAGGAAGGAGACGGATAGATGACCACAAAATGTTTTCCTGCACAAGAGTATAGAAAGGAGAAAGGTACAGTCAAAAAAGATCAGGATGGAAGATGTAAACGAGGGGATGGGTGCAAGAGGTGGAATGTTTCGATAGAAAGACATGGCGAGAAAAAATATTTGAATTCAGAATACAAGAATTCTACAAAACCAAAATAATAAAAATGCTTTGATTATCCTCAGGAGTCTCTTTAAGAATTTTTTTATTCCTGAAGTTATTGAGACAAAGTAAAATGTTTAGAGATTTCTCCAGGGTACTCTTTACAGTACAAATAAATCGGCTGTTCTTATACTAGGGGACGTCTGGATTCTCTTAAAAGAAAATACTGCAACAATCAAGATGACCACAATATCCTATAAGGTGGACTGCTGGTATCCATCTAGGGAATCCTTTTTTTAATTTCATGTTCCCTCACTTTCTTGCAACGTCATTTGGCCTCAATTTTTTGTTGTTTAAGCTTTGTCTTCAATAACATTGTCATTGTAAAACAGTTTTGTCGTTGCTTCCTTCATCTTTACAATCTTAGGTGGTGCTTAGCCATTTCTCACTAGCCACGTTGAGAAGAAACCTAAGGAAGAAGGCTATGTCATTCTTGAGCTGTTTTGATGCAGCTTATTCCTACATATACATCAATCCTTACTGTTTCTCTGTCAATTTTCAATCAATAAGTTCATTTGCCTAATAAATTTCAGGACAGCCACTGTACCAGTGTCACTTCAATTTGACGAGCGGCTCAAGATCTTATGATCACGCTATAAATGTGATTTCGAGAATAGCAAAACGTGTTTACAGTATAACCTCCCTTTATTTAAATCGGAATTCACGACTTCGGCAATCAGAAAACCCTCTTGTAAACGATATCGAGTATCTCATAAAACAAATAGAAGATTCTTCGAAAAAAATAGCTTTCCTCTGGGTTCCCAGTCATTCTGGTATCTCTGGAATAAGTGGACAGAGCAACCCATTCACTGGAAGTAATGACGCCCTCTTATATCTCACCATCAGATTTATTGAAACCAATAAGCATAATGATTTAAAACGAATGGCAACAGAACTGGACCACGTTGGAAAATAATAAACTGAGGATAATCAAACCGACCGTCAGTTGTTGGGCCTTGTCCTCCAGAAAGTGCAGAAGAAATGAAGTAGTCATCACACGCCTCAGAATTGGACATTTCCGGTTCACCCATGGTTACCTGATGGCAAGGGAAGATCCCCCTCAGTGTCAACTCTGTAAAGTGGCTCTCACAGTGAGCCATATCTTTGAGGAGTGTCCTAGCTACAGGAGAGAGATGGAAAGACGTGGTGTACTCCGTCAGCTCTTTGAGGCACTAACAGATAACAACCAACGTACCGATAGTACCATTCAATTCCTTAAGAACATAGGGCTAATACAACTAATCTGAACTAAATTATTTTTTCTGACAAATTTGCGATATATTGACTTAATGTCTATATTTCCTTTTTTTCTCTCTTTTCTTTTTCTTCTCGATAATAATATATATATATATTGTTCTTTTTAAAAACATATTTACTTTTATATTAGTAGTTTTAAGATTGAAAAATAAATCAATCAGTACAATATGAGGGCAATGATAACCGTCATTAGTTTTTTGCCCCTGAACCCAAAATAACAACAACGACTTCGGCAAGCTCACAGCTGGTTCTTTTCAGTTAATAAAATCGGAAGGCGTTAATTAGCTTTAATAAGATATGATCACTCTAACGGGATGAACATACCCCTACGGGGTCCTTCTCAGTTGAGGTCTGTGCCTTACCAGACGATTCGGTCACTTCCATCTACTTTCGGAGACACTCGATCATTCTCGGGATCTATAGTGATCTATGGTGTGATCATGAGATCTTGAGCTTCTTATCAAAGTGAATTGAGACTTGTACAGTGGTTTTAACTTTAAAGTTTTAAATTAAAGTAATTGTACCGACCTCTGCGGCTATGTAGGCCGGGATGACGCTGAGGAGGAGCTGCTCCTGCTGCTCGCGCTCGGTCTCGAGGCGAATCCTGGACTCGATGCAGGCCCTCGTGTCGGCCAGCGTGGCGCGGTGCCAACGCTCCGCCATTCGCCTGTAGTACAGTCCTAGCCCGGATCCCGCCAGCAGGAATATCAGTTCGCTTCCCACCTGTGAAAGCAAAAAAAACAAAAACAAACATAATTAAACAATAATGCAAATATTTGAATTTGAAAAAAAGTACAGAAATCGGGAAAGCCTGTCCTTCTTATGGAACTGTACTTCTATATATACTTGAACACGTTATAGGGAAATAGGGCTGATAGCTAAATTGACATCTAGGAATATTTAAACTTGGTATAGTAGTGCCTGCCATACCCTAAACGAAATTCAAGACTCAGATATCAACATGCTGCAACCGGCCTTAGGGTTGCTGCCGGTTGCTTGACCTTAAGATGGAGAAACCGGAGCTATTGCTACGGGGCGCCGGCCGTTCTACAGGGACGGCTCGCCACTTGTTAGAAATAAAAAAAAATAAAAAATGTGTTAAAATAACTAATTTTAGCCTATCGATAAAGCAAAAGTATTAGATAAATGTTGAATAAAATAAAATTCAAATATTACATAATATAAAATAGCTTAAGAAATAAATTTATTCTTTTAGAAGGGGAGATGACGTCATTGCCCTAAGGCGCCGAATGTCAAGGGCCGATACTGTTAACATGCATCGATACATGAGATGAAATCTACTTGCCAGGACATGTAATGTGTAGTGAAAGGCCTCAACTACTAACCAACTTTAAATATTCCTAGATTTAAACTTCTCTAACATGGACAGGATTTTTCAATTTCTGTAGTATTTTTTTTTTCAATTAAATTTCTTTTAATGTTTAACCTTTTTATTTTTCCCGTATCAAAGATGCGATATGCAAGAAATTCAAAGTACCCCACTGAGCTATTTGAATCACTTAACTTAAAAATCAATCCAACTATTCGCTCAAAAAATAATTCTTTAAGGACAACTTTAGTTTTAATAGATATTTTTCAGAGCAGTTTTTCGTGAACGGCATAAAAGTTGCTGAAAGGGCATCTAACGTTTTAGTTAATGGTGTTATTAAATTTATCGTTACCTCTAGAGACATCTGTTTGAGTTTTTCAGCGTAAAAGTAATTAAATATTAAAATTGGAAATTAAAAAAATATAAAATATATTTTGAATGGAGTTTTTATATATTTTGAAGTTCTGAAATTAATATTAAGAAGTTTTTCACTTTAAGATATCCATACAACATGAGTTGGGGGGTGTTTAAAAAACTTGAAGAAACGATCGGCTATCAAAAAATATTAGTTACCCAATAATAAACTTTAGACCATTAATGTCGAATGAATATCTGCTAGAGAATATTAAGTCTATTGATTTATATACAAAAAAAAAAAATTAAAAATTTATGTTCTTTAAAATATATCTTCATTTTCTGAATGCTTTTAACATATTTAAATTGTATGTATTAGTATTTTGTATTGTTAATAAATTGTATGTATTTTTTGTATTAGGTTATTCGAAAAAATAATTTCATGTAATAATTAATTCAAATTAATTTATTTTATTTTATATATTAACCCTCTGTATTGTTTAAGTTTAAGAGATTATTACTTTTTATCGATTTGAATACTTGCTAATCCTCTTCCAAACAACAATGTTTTTTTTCTTAGCATATCACTGGCTTGATCACTTAGTCTTTACTAAGATGGTAAAACGTGATTTTCGCATAAATTTGTTTTAAGAGTTCAAACTCGGTCGGAAAGGAGCCTATGAGACCAGAAACATTGATAAAGTGGGGATAATGTTTGTGTTCAGGGTTGATTTAAAAATGTTTCTGTCAAAAATTTCATTCTTGAAGATAAAGATGGCCGTGAAAAAACGTCTTCCCTTTATGACAATGATCTGCAAGATTTCGTCTAGGAAAATCAAACAACTGTTTGAGAACTTGCAAATAAACTCCTAGTTAGTAAAGCGACAACTACTGATCACATCAATGCCATTGAAAAGGTAAAACACTTTAATTGGAAAATTGGAATCCTCATGACAAACGACCGCCAAAAAAAAAAAAAAAATCATCTTTATGAAGTTTGAGCTACACTTCTTAAACGGTAACTATTTTCTGTTTTACTCTCGAGACCTAGCGTCTACATTCTACCATGTTTTTCTGTAGACATTTGGGCCAATTTTTAAAAAGTAAAAATTTTATTGTTCAAAGTGAATAAGAAAATAGAATAGAATGCATTATCAGAATTCGTTAATAATAGCATGTCAACATTGAATTCTATTACAAATGTATCGAGAGTAATAAAGTGTATTTTGATTAATAAAAATAATTTCGTATCATTTATTTTGTTTTAATTTAAAACCATAATACCTACATTAATCCAACCCACATTTTACCATTATTGGGTGCCACAATTCCTTACGGGACATGAAGGGCATGATTTCGCGCCAAACTTGATGGCTTTGATAAGGAAATTAATGTTCTATGCCCCTGTTGTGTTCCGGAAACTGCTGAGCATGTCACAACTTGCACAGCTTTTGAGACAATAAGGGCCAAACTACTGAGGGAAACCGGACTCCATATCATCACGGAGGACGATCGTCCTCAGCAAGTAACCAAGGATAACTACCCGTTGAATAGAATAGTAAATTGAACTTTATTTTGGTACTAAGTCCTCTTAGAATAACAATGATGAATTAATGCAAAAGAAAATAAATATCTAACTAAAAACTAACTACGATGATTTCTTGTACGGATGGAAGGAATTAGAGGAGTTGAACATTTCAACCTCCACTAATCAATAAGAGGAAGGAACAAAAAAGATAACAAGTGGTAGGACTATTGTGCTGCTACTCCCAAAAATCGGTAATGCCTCTCGGCTAATGGAGGATGATAATAAAATAAAATAAATAAAATCCAACCCAATATTTATTTAAATTGCACATAAATGGTATGCACTTACGTATAAGTATCTTAAACCAATGTAGCAATTAGTTATGTTTCATATATTGCAAGAATAAACATCACAGAAGAATTACCTTGAAAATTTTGTATATTAAAATTTAGATGAAGTTAGCATACATAACTTCTTTATGGTTGGGTAATAATTTACATATAAAATTTTTCTAAAGTTGTTTAAGGTTTAAGAAATTGTTTTTCCCATCAACAGAAATATATTATTCACCCTTTTAGGTCCGTATTTTTTTTGTCGTTGTTGTGATATCTTTGTCATTTAATAAAATGTGTTTATTACTTTTCTGTAGTTCAACATATGAAGGAACAACATACATATTGACCAACTTGCATAGTTCGACTAAGTTGCATATGAAAAAACAAAAAAACAAATTCGTTTTCTTTCGTTAGCCATATGTTTATGTGTATTATATTTTCAATCACGGGTTATTTCCCGAACCAATAGAACATATTTTGTTGTTCTTTTCAGCATTTAATGAAATACAAGCGTAGTTTTATATATTTTTTCTATGTCATCAAGATCAGATGTGTGCGCAGAACTGATTGATCAACGAATTATAATGAAACCTTATAGGTGGCCATTACAGCACATCCATTAACTCCTCTACTGAGCTCACAAACTGATATTGAATTTCAACCTCAATAACATAACAGATAACTTCCAATTCTGCCATGTATAAAAAACGCTGAAAGCCCCATTTCGGGTAAACAATTAAAGACAAATAGTTTTGTTGGATTTCACTTGTTTAGATTCGGCATTTTTTTTTTAAAATCATTTCATCGAAAATGTTAAGTGTTTGACGAGCTTAAAGCTGTTCGAGAAGAATTCATCAATCAAATATTTTGTAGTATTTTTCGTTAAACTCCCTAGCAAAACTTTTAAAATTGAACTTCAATTAAAACTGATGTGATTTCATTTCATACATCACAAACCTTGAAGAATGGTGTCAAAACTGGAGGATTAAAATAAATAACAATAAATCCCATCAAATCACCTTTACCCTTTGCCGTAAACCTGTGACCTCCTGTCCTACAGTATCCTTTAATAATACCCCACTTATCCCTGTTGAACAAATCCGATACCTTGGACTTCATTTGGACAAACGTCTAAACTGGAATCCGTATAACAGACTGAAATGACAAGAAACCGCTCGACGTTTCCGACTACTCCAGCACTTACTAGACAAACGCTTTAAGCTTCCAGTTAATTACAAAAGATTCATATACATGACTACAATAAAACTTATTTGGACTTACGAAGTTGGGCTTTGGAGCTTCACTAAACCATCGAATTCCTCTCGTATCCAATCCATATAATTCAAAATCCTTTATGCTCCTTACTTTATCACAAATTAAATCATCCATAACGACCTTAATGTTCCTTATGTTTCTGACCTGGCCCAATCCAGATACCTATCCTTTCATAACAAACTTCAAAACCATCCAAACCATTTCGTTTTTAATCTTGCTTCCTCCTCGATCCTCGATAACTCTCCAAAGCGTCTGAAAAGAAGATGGCCTCGAGATCTCCTGTTCTAAACGCATTTTGTGCTACCAGTGGGTAGTTTCTCAAAAAGTGGTTTCATGTTATTATATTCTTGTGTTCACATTTGCTGAATGTATTATTATTTCATATACTACTGATAATATAAATAATAAATTAAAAAAAAATCATTTCACGAACTAGATGGCGCATAAAATGGAATTAGATGGTTTAACGCTGAATCTGTGGTAAGTTAGCTTTCTTACGTCAAAAACAGAAAACAAAAATTTAGGAAAGACTTAATTTATTACCAAAAAAAAGAAAAAGAAAATTATGAACGTTGCGTATCTTAGAATTGCTTTAAATTGACTTCAAACCTAAACCTAACGCGCCTATTTGTGCAGTAGGCGAGAATGGAGAACACAAATTTGAAACATATTATGACTTATTCTTACGAAAAATTCAATTTTAAACCGCTTTAACTTTTTTTTTATGATTTAGTGCATAGAACAATCAATAAAACGCCTTTTTGTATGTGAAAAAAAACTGAGACAAAGGAGAAATCCAAACTTTTGTTAAAGGATTTCGGAAAAGCTTTCGATTTTTTGTGCAAAGAGTGAATATAATGAAACAAATCTGGCTACAAATAAGCTTTATAGTTACATTTTCTATCAGAATCTTTCAAAATATATTCTCCCTAACTCTGAAGATTACAGTGTTTGGTGCACATGTGAAAAAATAATTAAAACATTTATTTTATGGTAGAGCTTATGAGTTGCATGATGATATTTTACAAACCCTAGAAAATGTTTTGGCTTGGTTTGAAAACGTTAAAATCGATTACTTCCAAACTTTATGACCAATAAGGTCTCATGTTAAATATATATATTTCATGCCCATCTTAAAGAATAGACCAGTTAAAATTACCAATCAAACTCGTTTATTTTTAATTCTATTGACCAGTCAAATCAATAGAACAAGTTATTCCTCCTCTCGGTGAACGTCTATTCCTTCTCTTTTTGTAAGCTCAGTGAAAAATTGAGTGGGACCTAAAGAGCTAATATATATACGGTGAAGTTTGAACCATTTCCATTCCGACGACATCAATTCGGAAAGTTCCATTAGTAAAAGCCTCTTAGATGGAGAGATTGCCGACCCCTAGTTTATAACATCGTCCACATTTCTGTGTTACTACTGATACTTCTGTTTTTCTTTTCCTGTTTTTTTGTAGAAGGGTAATACTAATTTCTATGGGCATATATTTAAGAAATTTTGGCCTGCAAACGCCGACGAATTCGTTGTCCTGGTCCCCTGTCCACACAAGGCCAATCTTCACCATTGAATAGTAGCCAAGGGTTTAGTTGGTTTTAATGAGGGTTGAACGATTTGACTTTGGCTGAGCTTAGGCCTTTTTGCGGCAAACACCATAGGAATAAGTTGGGTTCCGTCTATTTATTATTTCATTACAAAAAAATCACACAATATAAATAATTATTATATATTTTGACTGAAGTTGGATGAACTGTGATTCGACGATTATATAATTATTATACTTGTTTTTAATAATTTTGCACTCATATTAAATTTAATAAATTATACTTCAGAACCAATTATTGAAACTTATCTGCTGATCCATATATATATATATATAGAATAGAATACAATAAAATAACAAGTAAAAATTATTCCGGGACAAGATCCTTTAATAATAACAATTACGAACAAAACAAAAACTACATCTAGAAAAAATTACATTAATCAAAATTAAAGAATATATACAATATTTTTAGTGAAAATATATGAAAAACAAAAAGTAAACCATTTTGAAAAAAAAAATTATTGAAATGAAAAGAAAAACAGAAATCAGAGGGAAATAAAAACAGAATGTTATAAGCGCTATTAGTTGATTATTAAAATTATAAAACTGAAACAATTTCATCAACCATTCACCTCAATCAAAACTTGAATCATACAGTTTATTTCATTGTACAGCGTCATTTTGGGATGTGAGAAGGAATTGGTAGAGATTGAATGAGGATAAGGAAGAGGCATGGCGAATGTAAGATGGCAAGGAACCCCAGAAGGCAATGGATCAATAAAGGAATATTCAAATGTCTTAGTTCTATGGGAAGGAGTGCAAAGGTTGGAAACACTAGATCTTGTTTTCTGGGAGTGTACTATGGGTTGGGACTGTAGGATACTGTAGATGTAGGAAGTGTGTTGGGTGTTGATCGTTTGAAATAGGTAAGAACCAAGGAATTATTATCGGCGGGAAGAAGGAAAGAGCAACTTTAACACGCCGTAAAGGTGAGACACATGAGATCACCTCGAAGAACTGAAATCTTAAGGAGGTTTTCATAAGTCGCTTTATCCAGCGGACGGAGTAGCCGAACGGGCTAACGTGTGTGCACCGCACCGCCGTTCCCCAGCAACCTGATAAATGAAACAATGATAAAATGTAGTCACGAGTTTGCGTCATATAACCAGTAGAGTATTTTCATCACCGCTCACACTCCCTGGCCCAGGAAAACCCCGTATAGCCTTAAAGGCGAGGAAGGGGAGGACAAACAAAAAAAAATATTCGTTCAATCGATCTTCGAGTACCATCGGGATGCCTCAGTACACCACACAGCCATAGTCAAAGTTGGGAAAAATAAGAGAAGATACAAGCAGCTTGCGGAAAGATTGTGGGAGAAGGTGGCGGGAGCGATGAAATTACTTATGGATTCCGTATATATATACACAGATATACTAAGCACTAGAAGCATAAGGCATAAGAAATAGTTAATAATAAAAAACTGTTAATCCTGTAGTTTGGGCAAGATTGATAAAACTGAAGAAACTAATATGAAGAACTGTTGTATATTAGTAGTATTTTATGAACTGAAGCAAACCATTAAACAAAAAAGTGAATAGTCGAGCAGCATCAGCATCAGCATACGTAATATTTATGTCTTGCTGTGTAATGTAGTT